ACAGAAAAAATCCCTACTGCTGTAAGAAAATTTTTTTGCATTTTGAGTTAGTACATGGAGATGGTATAAACTATGATATGGGAGGTCAATCATTGGGGGATGTTATTATAGCTAAAATACTGCACTTAATGAAAAAAAAAGTAAAAAAAAAATTCTTGTAAGTAAATTTTTTAGATGTCACATTCAGGTGAGGGCCGATTGACAACATTTTTGAAAATAGAGACATAAAAAAGAGACACTAGTGAATCTTTAGGGTAATACTATAACAGTACAGAGAGATATGTATTGTGCTTACCTTCCTGCCAGCTCATGGCCAGGTGTGGTGGGTAGACCAGGTCTACAGGAATGGAGACACCAGTGTTGACACATGGCACCTGTCTTGGTTTGGAAGCTGTTCTAATGGTTTGGTCAAGTATCTCTCCAGGGAAGAGTGTTGGTGTTTTCTGACAGTATCTTTTTCTCTTGGTTGGTATTTCTGCATTTTGGGCAGTAGTTGAGGGGGGTTGGTGCTCACTGTCCTCACTCACACAGTGGGGACACACCAGGTACTTGTCATATGACAGCCCAGGCCAGTCCCCTTTAATGATGTCCATAAGGTCACGGTGACCTCGCATGAGAACACGCCACATGTCTGAGAGATGTGATCCACGGACAGCAATACTGATAACCCAGTCTGGAACTTGGCTGACTGGATCAAGATTTGACTGGTTTTGCCACCGTGTCAGCTGCATTTTGCATCCTTCAAGTTCTGCATACACTCCATCCTTCCAGTCCATTCGCATGGTCTTCATGAGTCCAAGGTGCTTGTGCTGACGAACAGAAAATTTCTCATAAAAGCCATCTGGACATTTGTATGGAAAGAAAACCTGCAGGGTAAGTTGTGTGGTGTCTGGGGGAACCTTGCTGGGCCATTTGGTGTCTAGCTCAGGTTGTCTTTCTTCAGTGAGGAGCCATGGAAAGTGGAATGAGATGTTTGATGGAAGGGATTCATCTTCCTGGACTTGATAGCACAGCTCCAGTTTCAGCATCATTTCTGTCATGACATCAACTTCAGTGCTTGACAATTTGAAAGGCTCACATAGGCAGCTCATAGCTTGTTTAGAAACGATTCCTCTGCTAAAGATGTCTTCTTTTATTTTGGGTGCTTTCCTTCTTGTAATCTTCATGGACTTTTGGAGCTTTTGTGATACTTCACCTTGATCATGTGTAAGGACTGCCTTGAGAACATTCACAATAACCTCTTGCTTGTGGAAAACAACTTTCATCAGTGAAGGGCTTTTATCAAACCATATTATGTCTCCACGGTGAGCTAGGAAACTTAAGATGTCACAAATTGTTTTCTCTTTTTCTTCCTGTGTGTGCTTCTCTTTCCATGATGTAGGTGCATTTTGCAGAATGAGGTCTTCAATCACCTCCCAGCCAAGTGTGTTCTCAGGGCCTTCAATTTTCTTGGTGCAGATATTCTTGGCTGCTTCCACCCACATTCCTGGCAAAACTTCAGCGCTTGTCCTAGCAAAAGAAACCAGGTAGTCTCTCAGGTCTTGAACTCCTTTAAGGGTTTTTGAACTCACTGTAAAAATATGCTCATAGATGGGTTTCATCTGCCCAAACAAGGTCTGCAAATGAGCTGCTTTGCTTTGGTAGGCCTGGCGGAGAGATGCTTGGGCTTCAGGTATTTCTTTTATTTTGTTCTCACATGTCTCCTTTTGTGCTTGATACCACTTTTTTTTTTCACTTGCATGGTCTTCAAGCTGCCTGGTTATTGCAGAGCATTTTGTTTCTGCATGTGGGTTTTTAACCTCATCAAGGTGAGTTCCAAGTAGAGCTATTTGTATCCCTGGCATCTGTGCTTGCACCATGTCAATCCAGTCTCCAATGTGCAGCTGATAATGACCCTCCTTTTCTGGATCATATTTAGACAGATTGAAAGTGATAAAAACCAAGCCCCTAGTGGAGATAAAAATGGGATGACCTATTTTATAGACATCATGTCCACCAAAGTCATTGATATTGAAGGCAATGTCTTCATCAGCCTCCCATGTTCCCTGCTCCACCACTCTTGTCCTGTCTGCCTTCTTTGTGAGGGTTGACTGTCCAAGTTGCAATGTACGTGAAATGCTAGTTTTTCCTGCTTCTGTTTCACCAAGAAAGTTGACCTGTATTCTACTTGACTGGATTGCCTTGGTGTCAGTTAATGCCTCAAAATACCTTTTGATGGCATCTAGTCCCCTGTTGGCAATATGTTTAGGTGGTTGTACCAGAGGATTACCTTTCACATCTAGGTCTGTTAGACTTTCCATACTCCTCATCTGAGGTGGCAGGTGGGTGATGTTATTGTTATCCAAACTAAGAATCTTAAGTTTAGTTAACCTGGTGATTTCCACTGGTATGTAAGACAGCTGGGTGTTACCCAGGTGCAGCACCTCTAGGTTAGTCAAGGCACACAGTGCTATGGGGAATGTAGTGAAGGCATTTTTATCAAGCCAGAATATCGTAAGACCCTTCACCCTGGCGATATCCACTGGTATGTCAGATAGCTGGTTGTATGACAGGTACAGCACCTCTAGGTTGGTCAAGCCACACAGTGCTATGGGGAATGTAGTGAAGGCATTGTGATTGAGGCAGAATAATCTAAGCCCCTTCATCCTGGTGATATCCACTGGTATGTCAGATAGCTTGTTGTTACCCAGGTATAGACTTTCTAGGTTAGTCAAGCCACACAGTGCTATGGGGAATATAGTGAAGGCATTGTCATTGAGGTAAAATATTCTAAGCCCCTCCATCCTGGTGATATCCACTGGTATGTCAGATAGCTGATTGTTACCCAGGTTCAGCTTCTCTAGGTTAGTCAAGCCACACAGTGCTATGGGGAATGTAGTGAAGGCATTGCTGTATAGCCAGAACATTCTAAGCCCCTCCATCCTGGTGATATCCACTGGTATGTCAGATAACTGGTTGTTATTCAGGTTCAGCTTCTCTAGGTTAGTCAAGCCACACAGTGCTATGGGGAATGTAGTGAAGGCATTTTCATTGAGGTAAAATATTCTAAGCCCCTCCATCCTGGTGATATCCACTGGTATGTCAGATAGCTTGTTGTTATCCAAGCTCAGCTCCTCTAGGTTAGTCACGTCACACAGTGCTATGGGGAATGTAGTGAATGCATTGAAACTGATATAGAATTTTCTAAGCCCCTTCATCTTGGTGATATCAACTGGTATGTCAGATAGCTTGTTGTTATCCAAGCTCAGCACCTCTAGGTTAGTCAAGTCACACAGTGCTATGGGGAATGTAGTGAAGGTATTGTGGGATAGGTCCAACACTGTGAGGTGTGGCAGGTTGGATATGGACTGTGGTAAAGAAGATAACCTGCTGAATGCTGCATATATTTTCTTAACATTTCTACACCTGTCAATGGACTCTGGTAGGTTGTCTATATAAGCTTTACCTATATGAAGCTCAGTCCACTCCAGCACAGTGTCTGGTGTCTTGGACTGTGGAGACAACTGCAGCCTACGTAAGAGATCAAGTCTCTCTTTGTGTTCCCTGTAAGCCATGTTTCAGGAATGGAGCAGTAGGAAGAAATGTCACTGCTGTATGTTATATATGGTCACATGGAGAATGTGCTAATGTTTTTTGACTTCCTCCATTACTGTGTATACATGTCCTCTGTTGTTCTTTTCTTTGTCTGAAAATGAAAAGAAATAAATTGCTAGAAAAATATTTATTGTTAGAAATGGGTTATGTGTAAATGGGTATTTAATTGTTACCAAAATAAAACAATATATTGTCACTACTTCCCTCTGATAAAAGATACTTTATCTGAAAGTAACTAAGTCATAAGTTTACTCTTTTGTTGTCTTTGTCTGAAAGAAGTAAATATGAATTGATACATAACATGTGACATGCACTTTTTTATTTGAATTAATCAGCTATGCACAACATAATTGTATATGGTATTTTGTGACAAAAAAAAAAAAAAAAAAAGAAAAAAATCCACCAATAAATTATTTCCATGTGGTTTCACTTGACATTGACTTTACATGTACTCCAGTACATCAGGTATTTCAAGCATTTTAACTTGATATACAATTTTTGTTCAGTAGGCAGTAACTCTATTACCTTATGTGGATTTAATGTGCATTCGAACAAATCACACGAGTTATCTGAAAAAAATAATAGGAATAGACTGATGAAAAGATAGATGGATGGCGTTCATAAATAACTTTCTTTTAAAATTTCTCAAATTAATGTTATAAATTATAATTAATTAATTTGCTTTGCAAAAGTTTGTCATTTGATCAGAATTTGGGGTGGTTAAAAATGAAATTGTACTGGGAGCTAATTATGTAATAAAATGCACATAAGTTTACATAAAATGAAATTTAGGCAATATATAAGTTCATACATGACATACATGTACCTTCAGTCTGTTAGTTTTGGATATTTATTAAGATATGTGAAGCTAGACACCAGCTATTACCAACATTTCTGCTGCTGGAGGTCTTGGGTACCTGAAATATGAAACAATATATACCTTAAGACAAACATGGCTATATCAAACTTAAGCTTGGTACTTTACATTTAGTACAGTTTTGGCTATTTTGTTGAAATTTTCAAATTGTATTCGCCTGGTAGCCTAATAATAAATAATAATAAAGATTTGATAACAAAATGATTTCTTGACATTTTTTTCTAATAACTCTTTCTGTCCCAGTGTTAAGACATTATGTATCAGAAACAAAATCAGCCAATCTAATAATAATAAAAAAATATTCCATAAGAATTAAAGAAGGAACATTTGTAAATTCTAAAAATATTTAAGATAAAACTTTGATAATATTAAAAGGCAAGAACTACTTCTTTCATACATTTTACATGGGTTGTATTAACTAGGTAAAATCAGGAATCCCTTTTCAATTGATGATTTCCCACAGGATCTTGTCTTCCTATATACAGGCCCATATATACCCAGGGGGGTTCAGGGGGTTCAAAAGAACCACCCTTTTTGCTGGGAAAAGGTCCATTCTGGGCATTTGATCTATTTACTTGAGGATTTTATGGTAAAAGGTCCACTTTTTCAGCAAACAACCCCCCCCCCCCTGAAATTGCTGGCTACGGGCCTGCTATACTTGTAATTGTAAATGGAAATTTTATAGGAGCCCACAGGAAATGTTTTCTATGGGAGAGGTTCAACTCTTTAGGTGTTGAAAATACACTAAACAGAAAAAAGGTCATTTCAGATATCCTAGATCTATTGTGCCAATTTTTGCAAGGACCACCCAAATATAAAAGACTACCAATTTAAAAAAATGATTTTGGTTATAAGAATTTTTTTTTTATGTGTAAACCTATCCATGCAGCATGATGATGCCTGAATACTTTTTTAATTATCTACCTAAACTTGAATAAAAATGTTTTTATCAGATCAGTCATTCAATAACAATTAAAGTATTGCCTCAGATGAAATAATATGTATCATACAGACAGTAGACTAATGAATTTTTTTATTGAGATTTTTTATGCTTCTTTGGAAAAAATACAACTCTTAGAAACTAAACAAAAATGTTCTTATATCAGTTCATATCTACACCTGGAAGTTACAGCATTGAGATTAAAAAATAAATAAATTGGACG